CCATTCCTCTGCTTCCCAAAGAGCTGACACTTGAGGGAAATAGTTTTCTCAGGCCCTGGTATCTCCAGCCTTTGTCATCGCAAACATGCAAATGTATTTGCTGGAATCAGTGTCCCAGGGATCACTAACAACTCAGGGTGCTGCAGCAGGTGGTCATTCCATAAATCCAGTGTCTGCCTTTTGTTATTTGAAGTTGATCTGGAAATCCTGGGATCAGTTGCTGCTGTGGTCTGTCAGAGCATGTAGACAAGGGCAGCTCTGAAGCTGAATACAGGCCAGACTGATGGATACAATCATAAGGAAGTGTTTATTATTAAATATGGCTCTGGCAATTAAATGTAATGAGCTGCTAGTGAGTAAATTTTTGCTATTCTTTAATGAGAGATAATGAAGCAGCATAGATTAATAGATTCTATTTGGCTTTAACAACACACTAGGGGGTGGATTTCCTCTTTCAATGCTGGGAAATGTTTGTTATAAAGTTGATACCAAAAGCCCAAGTCCTATTAAAAGTAATAAGTTGAAAGATATTGCCAAGTCATGAGGTTGTCCCTGTTGACCTTCCCTGCTAGTTGTTCTTTGTATACAATTTAAGGCAAAAGGCTGCTCTAGAAGAGCACTCATGAGCCTTGAGATGTAAGGGTTGCTCGGGTGAATCTTGCAGCTGTTCCTGTAATCCTCCCCTGCCCTTCCCTTGCACCCAGAATGTTTGATACCATTTCTTTGGAGCTTTATACTTACCATTTTTTCCACCTTGGGAAGTAACACAGCTTGTATGGTGGAGGCAGAAGGCTGGAGACTCTTTCCTTGGAGGCTACAGAAATGGTGACTTGGTGGGAGCTGAGAGGCAGGGAGGAGGTTCCCATGGTTAAGGCTGGCAAATGTGGTGTTGGAAACCTCGAGGAATGTGGCTGCCTGGAGGGAAACAGAGGATGTGTGAAATCCAGGAGGGATAAAAAGGTGAAGGGAGAGGAAGGAGTTTGGGGTTCCTGGGTTGTGTTGCCACCCACACTGGATGCCTACACTCGAGGAAGGTGACATGGGGCAAAAATGGGTTGCTGGAGCACCCTGGATGGCTCAAGGAGCTCTGCTGTGGAATGTGAACCTGGATCCTCCCAGGTGGGTCCTCCAGAGCCTGCTGGGAATTGCACTGCTGGGCTGATGCAGAAGAGCTTGGGTTTCCCTCCCCCGTATCCCGTGCACTTCATGTGTTCTAATCCATGGCTCAAACATGTAGAGTATTGCTCATGTACTTAAATACCCACATTAGTTAATTTTCTCCCTTTAGCTGTATTTTAAACATTAGTTTGGAGTTTCCCAAGGAACAGAGACTTTTCTCAAAGGAACCACTTGGAGCTTTTGTCCTTATTCAACATTAGCAGAAAACTTCATCTCAAATTAATGTGGAGCTTTAGATTTGGGCTTGATAAGACATGCTTATCAACATGCAAACTTTATTTTCTTTAATCAGAAAATGATGTGGAGCATCTAGGACATTTTGTATCTGCAGCATGAAGCTCTTTGCTGTCAAGGCATTTACAAACATAGAACTCCTTGTGTTGTTTAATTGTCCATAGATTTGGCTGGATTGAGTTATCTAATGAAGAACAGATGGAAGGCAAATAACTTCCTGCCCTGGGTTTTTATTATTATTTATAATTAGAGGGTTTTCATTTGCAGAAGTGATGGGGACAGCATTTTAACAGAACCATAAAATATTGCAATAGTCTAGAAGGCAGTACAAATAATGACTGAAGTTCAAATGAAAATGAAGCACAGGGAATGGGAGGGGAGGGTTGGGTTTAAGTGCAAACCCTGCTTTTAGAAACAGTTTGGTTTTTTTTACTGGGGAAATAGGATAATGCAGCCAGTGCCTGAGATAAATGAAAGAAAATGGCCCATACAGGAAAACTCTCCATTGTGTTCAGTTGTGAACATTCAAAGTACTAAGAAAGTGTGTTGGGTTTGCCTTGAGTCACCTCTGAAAATATATTAGACACTGAAGTTGGGATTGTCAAAGCTGTCATCTCCCAAAATGCTGCTAGGGGTAGGTGTGCTGGCAGGGCTGTAGTCACATCTGTGCCTGCATGTGCACACCCAACTATCACCTGAAAATTAGTTTCATTATTTCTTAACAAAACCGTTTAGCATTTCCTTTTTTCAAACTTTTTACACCTGAGAAGGTCCCACAAGAAGAAGAAAAGGTGCTCAGGTCTTGGAATTTGCCCCTGGAGTGGTGTTTTTCCCCTCAGTACAGTTCTAAGCTTCTGCCCCCATTTTTGTTCGTGTTCAGTGCTGAAAAAAAAATGTTTTTGTTTCAGGTGGGATGGGAACTGCCATCCCAGCTGTGTCTGTGTGTGGAAAGAACTCTGTAAAGATCCAGGAAGGCAGAGTGGGATCATCAGACCCCACATTTCTTGAGCACTTTCCTTTTTTCTAAGTCCTTCCCATGTTCTTACTCAGAGGCACCACCATAGTGATTAAACTTCTGAGCCTAAATTCTTTTATTAAATTGGTATCTGGTTTGTCATAGTTAATGCCATTTACTAACACTTTAGCAAAATTTCAGTATTACAATAGGAGGAATCAGCTTGGATTTCTAAAGAACTGCAAAGAGATACAGGATAAAGGTTGCATTTGAATTTCAGATATTCACTGAGAAGTGAATCTTTTAAATATTCATTGTGCTGCTTAGAAGGAAGATATCAACTGCTGGTTTGGTTTTTTCCCCCTTCTAAGTGAACATTTGGGAGTTGCCTCTAACATGTGGCCACGTTTGCTCTTCTCATTCCCTTCTGTCCATCTCTTGTTGGTCATTTCTGGGCTCACTGTGTGTGTGCCTGTGTGTTGGTGCTGTCCCCCTCCCCCCTGTGGCACAGTAACATCAGTGTGTTCACTTTCAGCTGCCTGTTTCACTCATGTTTTTTCTCATCATTCTGGATACTTGTAGTTTAACAACATGTCACATCTCACCTTGCACTTCACCCCATCTCAATGCCATTTGTTTCGTTGCCTGTTGCTCTCCAGTAGCATCATGCTGGGCACCTGCTGCAGTGTGCCTGGGCACCAGGGCTTGTTGAAGGTCTCTGAACATGGGGAGCATCTGGGTTACTGGGGAAACAAAGAATCAAGTTGCAGTTTGCAGTGGGACAGTTAAAGCTGAAGTGAAGAAATGGAGGAGAAAGAAGGTGATGCTTCCCTTTCTGGTTTTCAAAATATTGGGCATTTTTAAAGCCTCAGGGGTCATTCTCACCAGTTCCTCAGTCTCACTTAGGATGAAAGAGTCAATAACCCCAGCAGCTCTGCCCACCTTTGTGGAGGATTTTTCATATTCCTGCTTCATCCATTCATTTAATCTAAATGTGCTCTTACAATATGCAACTAAGGACTTGTTAGCATCACAAGTCATTGTAAATGAAGATTTTTTAATTAAAACCTAAAATCCAGACTGATCTGGTTCAACACACCAAGTGCAGATGATCCACTGAGCTCCAGAAGGATTGAAATTCAGGTCTGGATCAGGCAACAGACAGTTTTGACCTCCCAGAGACTCTGGTACAGCCCTGAATGGATTAATTTTAACTGCAGAAATGCAAACTGAGTTATATTCTTTGTGTCAGAGCTATTACAATCATCACAGGCTCTCTAGGGGTTGTGCCTGGTTGTTAATCCCTGGACAAAAAAGATTGGGGTTTTTTTAAATAAAGTTCAGGAAAAATAAGATGCCAATAGAACTAACATTCTGTTCTGTTGAACAGCAGCTTGGTACAGCTGAGTGCATTATGTCTTAATTAGTGTTTTTATAAGGAAAATATGGAAAGATAATCTGTGTGTAATTAGTACTGGTCTTGTTAATCTTGTGTAAACAAACCAGTTGTTTGGTGTTCAATGGGCACTGCCTCATTAAAGGTAAATGAAATGAGCCAGGACAAGTATC